AGGTGTGTGGAAGGCGTGTGACCATTTCTACTGTACGGTCGCACGACTTGTGTCTTTGGAGCATGTTTGAAAACCAGCCGAAAATCGTATGATTTTCGGCTGGCTTGTGGCATGCTCGTAAGATATGCTCGTGCATGTTCAGCATTGCGGTCATCGGAAGCCCGCCCTTCAGCGGGGCGGGCTTGAGATTATCGCAAGTACTATCTGCCTGTCCAAGATGGGCAGATGGTACGTTATTTTAATTACCTTACAACCATCGCAAAAGTCTTGCGATGATTGTAAGGCTGGGCACACACCTTACAACCATCGCAAGACTTTTGTCTTGAGGCAAGGCACCCTGCTCCCCACTCCTCCTTTTTCCCTTTTCCAAGCTAGTAGATTGACAGCTTCTGCAGACTGCTCTATCTCTTGTGATCTTGTACTCAACAGGAAGTTTAGGGAAGCAGAGCTGAGAAAGTTGGAGCCAGCTGTTTGGAAACATGATGACTATAAGTGTTTGAGCAAAAAAAAATAAAGAACTGCTTTGCTGGGCAATGTATATTTGTTTGACTGGGATTCAATATTTAAAAAGTTTGAGAGTTCAATACTAATTTAAGAGGTGAGGCTTTTGACAAACCATCTAAGCCAGATGCAACATTCTTCTAAAATATGGATGTGTGGTCAGAAAGGTGGTCAGTCAGGTAGAAGTGATGTGCCACTGGGAGTGCACAGGTTTCTTTTTTATCTATTGGTGTTGGCCAAATCAAGCTGAAAGGAAAGGACACTTAAATGATAGGGAAGAGAGAGAACAGAGACCTAGAGGTATGAGCTGAATCTAGCTGAAGTGGTACAGTGTTGAAAAAGCAGAAAGGATGTGAAAAAAACAAAGTATAGAGAATTGAGAAAAAGGTAAGCAGTGGGAATAGTAAAAAAAAAAATATATATATATATACTAGAAGGAGGAGATTTATACGAGAGATTGAGATGAGCAATAAGAAAAAAAAAAACTTTTTACCCTCAGTTCCTCAAATCATCTTCATCAAAGTTATAATGACCTGGTCATTAATTAAAAGAGGTTGCATAACTGATTGAAGTCTGCTGTGAAAGCTAGAATTCCAGGAATGTCAATCTCTTCGATCCCCTGCAGAGCTCACTGGTTCTTCACATCAACTTTCACATCCCACATTATAAAGGTGCCCACACACCTTGCGATTATCGTACAATAATCGCGGGAAATCCAACGATTGTACGATAATCGTAAGGTGTGTGGAAGGCGTGTGACCATTTCTACTGTACGGTCGCACAACTTGTGTCTTTGGAGCATGTTTGAAAACCAGCCGAAAATCGTATTGCGGTCATCGGAAGCCCGCCCTTCAGCGGGGCGGGCTTGAGATTATCGCAAGTACTATCTGCCTGTCCAAGATGGGCAGATGGTACGTTATTTTAATTACCTTACAACCATCGCAAAAGTCTTGCGATGATTGTAAGGCTGGGCACACACCTTACAACCATCGCAAGACTTTTGTCTTGCGATGGTTGTAAGGTACTTAAAAAAACGTACGATCTGCCTATCTTGCATAGGCAGATCGTACTTGCGGCGATCGCAAGCCACGCCCCCTGAGGGGCGGGCTTCCGATGACCGCAATGCCGAACGGGCAGTGTGCGCTTGCGCACACCGGCCCGTATGGCTTTTATCGTACGAACATGCCACAAACCCACCGAACATCGTACGATGCTCGGCGGGTTTTCGAACATGTCCGTAAGTTAAAAGTCGTGCGACCTTACAGTAGTAGAGGTCGCACGGCTTCCACACACCTTACGATAATCGTACGATCGCGGGATTTCCCGCGATTATCGTACGATTATCGTAAGGTGTGTAGGGACCTTAAGGTGTGTGGCCAGCTTAAGACACAGTATTGATGTGGGGAGGAACCAGTAAGCACTGCGAGGGACCAAGAACATTGATAGTTCCAGAAGTGTAGGTTTCCCAGTGGATTTCAGCAGAGGAATAATTGAACGGAGCAGCAACTGGGTCTCTTCTTCCCCAGTTGCATCTGTTAAGAATTGTTTTAGTTAATAAAGGGTTGGTTGATTTAAATGAGTTCTGTATATTTGACTCCCTGTCCTCTAGAAAGCACACACACACCACAAAGGCCTTGTTCACACCAAATGCAGAGCACGCTAGTCATTAAGATGCGTTTTTGACACGTTTTTTTTTTAACGTTTAAAATGGGCTTTCAGTGCGTTCCAGGCATTTGCTTGCATTTTTTGTGTGTTCCAGAGCAGATCCAGAGCAGCTAAAATAGGGCCTGCTGCAGTTTTTTCACCTGCTCTGGATCTGCTCTGCTCTGCACGCTGCGATGTGAACTGGAGCAAAAAATACCATTGGAATACATTGGATGCTGTTTTGATCCGGTCTGCAACTGATCTGCCCTGCACCTGCTCCGCGCTTGGTGTGAACAAGGCCTAAAAACCTTGATCTGTGGTCTTTGTAAAACTACAAATTCTACTGTTCCCTGTCAAATGCTGCCAAGTAGGCTGGAACTTGTAGTTTCACAAAGCCTTTAGGAATGCAACAAATGTCCATATGGGTGCTGGATTATCAATAGAGGCAAATGCTGCTACCTTGCCTTGGACCTCATTGGGTCTTTAGTCACCTCTTGTTATGAGAGCTGTATAACAAATGTCTCTGATGGAGACCTATAGTATGCTCCGGTCATGAATAAAGGACACAAGCAGAAGTCATGTAGCAAACCTACTACACAAAAAATCTGGAAGGCAGCATACAGAATTCCACTGAACTGTTTAAAATGAATGACAAGTGCATGAAATCCCCAAGCATTTGTATGTGTATGAGAGGGTGTATAACTGTGCACAAAATGAAAAAAACAAACACTAGCAGTATGACCTTTAAAGTGACTAAACAATTCCCCTTCATGCACCAGTAGTTGTTGTATGCATACCTCCATAATTCTGGAAGTACAATGAAAAAACAAGTTCATAAAGTTCAAGTAGCCCATTACCTAGCATCGAATTGCATGATGCAACTACTTGTAGTGCAAGCATGGTACAATGAAAACTGTGTGAAGATATCTCTCACCAATGGCTTATGTTCTATTGTGATACAAATATTATGAAGATGTTATATCATGCTGCAAGTACTAAAAATAGTGTTCCTCCAGTTTCATCAGATAACCATTAATCACCTGATCAAATGTCTGTTTTTTAGTAGGATTTGTTACATTGCTAGGTATTTCTTAACCTGAAACTTTCTAAAACAGATTATATTGAAGTAGAACAGCAGACAAAATTGTTTTTGTGTTTCACAGAAGAACTCTGGGCATATTAAGCACTAATTCTTGCACAGCGTGGGGCAGGGACAAAAACAATATTGTCTGCTGTTCTACCGCTCGTTTTGATCTTGGGTCTAAAATAAAAGATATACTCACCTGTTCCTCAGTCCTGTCCAGCTGATAGACTTGTTCCTGTAGCCTCCTCTCTTCAGCGCTCCGGTGGTCTAAGGACCCATGACATCATCACATCCATTGACTTGCATTGGATGAGAGGACGCAGATCGACATTCCACAGCCAGAGGGAGGTGAGCATTCATTGCCACGGGACTGAGTATATCTTTTATATTTTAGACCCTAGACCAAAACGAGTGCTTATCTCTTGCAGTGTGGGGGTACCCCCACTGCAAGGGCTAATGTTTAATATGCCCAGAGTCCTTCTTTAAATTGAGTGGCTAAGGATTAGAATCTCTGTTAGGTTATTATTGCTATCTACATACTCCCCAACAGTCCCAATTTCCAGGGGACTGTGCTAGGATTTGAACTTAATTCCAGTATCCCATGTAATCACCCTACTGTATGTCCCAGCACTGGGTGCTGGAGAGCTCACTTGAGTGCACTTGATGCTGGTATCAGACTGCCACCCATTCAAGAAAGTGGGACATACCCCCACTTCCAGTAAAATGGTCATGTGATGAAAATGTCACATGACTCAGAGCTGTAAGGGAAGTCTAGGATGGGCTTCCTCAGTGTGCTCTGAGGAGCTGCCTTAGTCTGAGTTTAAGGGGAGCTAATCTGGGGTCTGAATGGGAATTTAAGGGGCTCTTACATGGGTCTGAATGTTAAAGCGGGGCCGATTTGAGGTCTGAATGTTAAGTGGTGACTGATCTGAGGTCTGAATTTCAAGAGGGGCTAATTAGGGGTATGTATGTTAAGGGTGGCTGATCTGAGGTCATAATGTTGACGATGGACTGGCCTGGGTGTTAAGGGACGACTGTCAAATGCATTTTAATTTTATCTACGTATAACATCTACAGCAGGGGGTAGCCAAACTACAAATCCCATGAGGCATTGCAAGATTCTCACAGCCACAGACATGACTCCTGGAGAGAGATGCATCATGGGATTTGAAGTTTCACAACAGCTGGAGGGCCTGAGTTTGGCTACCCCTGATCTACAGGTATTTATTTCCTCTGATGACGATCCTCGTATTCTCCCTGACAACGCCTTCATCTGCCTTTTGATAGATACTACAGGAAGATAAGATTCTTTTGAAAAATACCTTTTTCACCCAAAAAGCACATTATCAGCCCATGTCAGATAAAGTTCTCATAGGGAGAGTACAGAGGTAGTGCAATACATTTTCTACCCCCAAAAGAAATCTGCTGAAATAATTTTCAGACCTTTTACTCAGGCTCGTTGTAAAGAGATGTCACCAGCACTCCAATATGACAAACACGTCAAAGTTTAGTGAATCTTCGTTTTTATTTTTTAGAAGTCACTCAAAGTAAAGTCATTGCGAGCACCCATTTTTCTCATGGGAAGTCCGGTAGGTGTGCTACAGGTCTTTGGACATTTGGACACTTTTACTCAGGCTGTCACATGATGAAGTCAAAATTATTCACATTATATGAATTTGGATAGATTTGCTATGGATAACACTTAACAATATCTCTATAGAAAATGTGGTTTTGTCTTCTTTTGCACTTCAGTTACTGCTGCCATACTCACTAGCTGCAAGGAAGGTGAATTTGTTGTACTCAGACTACGCTGATGTAAAAACCCAGAGGTACCATGAAGGGTGACATGTTTCCTTATTTCTGCTGAAGAATACCTGGATAAAACACAAACATTTTAATCTGTTAACATATTCTGCCAATTAAAATTCAAGCCAGTTTGAAATTTACAATATAATCCCAATGTCACTTCAAGAGTCATCATTCATTACTAAGTTATAAATTGAAACAGTACAACCATTAAGTTACAGGGAGGTGGTACAAAAGGAAATGAAAAGCCCACCACTAAGCTATACATTATAAGAATGAACAAGGGCCTGTACTGTGGAAGCTGAACCCATAATAGGCAAGCAGAAGGCAAATGACTTGTCAGAGCTGCTCCCCTGATGATTGGCGGTCTGATTACTGGTGGGGTTTTACAATCAAGAAGCAGCAAGAAAGGTGCAGAAACCACCGATCCACAGAATGGATGTTACTGAACCAGAGAAATCACTGCACTGCAGATCTTCAGGTACGGCATTCTCTCCAGTAAGCAGAACAATAAGCGAAACAGTAATTACATTACCAAATCTCCCATCAAATCTCCTAAAACTAGCCTTAGGAAATCTCACACTGCAGATATACAGCCATGAGGCTCAAGGCATCATGCAATGATAGCATGATAAGTGCATAGACACAGGAATTGTACTGCTATTTTTCAGGAGGAATTCAAGGCAATAGGAGATTTTTGGGGTACTACTTAGGCAAAATTACATTTTCTACATACATTCCCTATATGATAGCAAATCCTAACTTTTTTTAGTATTGGTGGACTTTAGAGCCTTTTCAAACAGGCAGTCCAATCTGGTCCGCCTCTCAGTTTTTAGGTGTATCTGTTAGTCTATGGGAAGTCGGATCTAAACGTGCATGCGTCCATTTACATCCGATTACCCCCAGCTCCAGCCAGGACCGGAAAACTTTCCGTTTTGGCAGACCAGATTGTGAAGAATTGGGGTAATCTGATGTAAACGGACACATTACATCTCATTCCCTTTAGTCCTAACAAGGGTCTGATAAATTCAGTTTTTTTCCTCTTTCACAAGAAAAAAACGTTACGACATCCTTCCCGAACTCCTCCAATCAGCAGGGAATGCATGCAGGGATCCCCTGCTGATCGGAAATGACAGGGGCCCGTGTGAAAGGGGCCTTAATGCCAGGCTTAGACATTGATTTATAAACTCAGAGACGGCATGGCCTATCACAGATCAAAAAAGAAGCTAACAGCAATGTAATAGTGGAACTTTGAAAGAGTTTTAGGAAAAGTACTTATAAAGGTGGACTTTCCCTTTACGCTGCTCTTTGTAGCATCTTTCCTGTGCCACATAAAACATTGAGCAGGCAAGTTGGAATTTTTGACAGATTCCCAATTTTGTCATATTGATGGCATTTACAGCATACCAAAACTGCCTACTGCATAAAATGGAAAGTACTTAACAACCCTTGTATTCCCCCAAGATGTCATCAATCTTCAGGGGAAAATAATCTGGATGTCAATTCAAACCTGGAAAACTGAGGGCATCTAGTGGCAGAAAGGAGTTACTGCAGGGAGCCTCAGAGAGGTGATTATTGCAGCCAGAACTGCTTTTTTTGTATTAAACCCATCCCAGATTTGGCCTTTAAGGCATACTGTTGACTTTTTTTTTCTCGATACTGAGAGCTGCGTAATAATGTAACTGCTATTTGCTCAGTTCATGGTCTTCTCCGTATAAAGAACAGTGACTGTCGGCACGGCTCCCTGCAGGGATTTCCCCGTCCCCTCTCTGTTCCTGCATCGCTCACTGGAGGGACAGGCAGGGGAGGGGGCAGCAACGGTTGGCTCTGGCTCTAGAGGGGCAGAGCCAGCTATCAATCAGGCAGCGGGGTGGATCCTGACAATATTGTCAAGATCTTTCCTGGCTGCCAGCATATATCAGCAGTAGCCCCCTATATGCTGACATTAGTAAATGTACTCCTGTGACGCAAATGAAAAAGTAAAACCAAAAAAAGTTTTGACTTTACGTCTCTTTTAAGGCAGTTTAGCTGTTCAGTGCCCATGCTTTCTCTTGGCAGGCCTACTGTTGGGCACAATGCTTGCATAAATTACAGATGTTCTATCTAAAGAGTGTCTAATGATGCTGAAATGCTTGTGGTGACAGGTACAGTGAATGGTCTTGGGGTAGAAGGTCTTACACAGGGAATCAGACATCTACAGCCTGACTGGGCCAATGCACTGCAGCCTGATAATGTGGTTCCTGCTTTCACAGTCTGCCTATAATAAGGCTCTTTCTATGCCTGTCTGCACTGCCTAGTTCTTGCAATGTTCTGATTTCTGGACACCTCTACATGTATCCACTGTCTTCTTTATATAGCATCCTTCAATCTGCCCAACAATTACAGATTTTGAGAAGACTACATACTGTATATACCGGTAGAGGACATTTAGAATTAAAATGCAAATCAGGTTATAGCAAACAATTTTTATTTGTACTTGCGGCCGCTGTGCCTGAAATCCTGGGCAGCCAAATGCATCAGATTTGCACAGGTCTGCGTCAGATTTACCTCTGGAGATGATACAATTTATCACTCAAAGCCCAATAAAGAAGTGTTCAGGAGCAGCACTATTGCAGCGCTACTTTAGAGCAGCCGTGAGAAGAATCTTTTTTTTTTAAACTCACACCCCTATAGTAAATCTGTATCATAATATTTCCTGCTTAATGTGTATGTTCAGCCCAAACTTTTAAGTTGGCCATACACTGTTATTCTTTTGTTCAAACTGCGGGCTAAACTAAAAAAACATAACAGCTTCCTGCATCCATTCTAAACAGTAAGGATGTATGAATCTTCTGCTGGCCTATTATATTCTGACAGCAGCTGGTGTGCTGCTATCAGAATACCTGAACAGTGAAGGCACCCAACATTTTTTAACCCAGCTCCTTAGATTTTCTGATCGAAGGATGCTGGATGGAAGGCTGCCAACAAGGCCACCCACTGAGTGACAAAGTTTTATCAGACAGGAAGTAGGTGTAACGCTCTAACAGTATCACACATGAAATGAAGATGGTTTTCTTTAGTAGGGTAGGGAAAGGCAAGAATCTCTGTCACGTTTTTGTCTCTCTCTGTCTCTGTTGCAGATTTTTCCCTCACTTTTCTAGTGAAACTGTTGTCAGCAGGGCAGGAAGTGACAAAGCCCGTGACACCCGTGACACACTGCACACAAAGCCGTGCAGAATGAAGCAGAGCTGTCAGGCATGGAGATTTGCGTGCCGTGTGTGAGCTGACTGTAGGCAGATGAATGACAGCGCCTTCAGCCAATCGGCTCGCGCGGCTTTGCATCGTGACGAGTGGGTTTATACGCGTGAGCCGATTGGCTGAAGATGACATTTTTCATCTTGGCACGCTCAGCTACGTGAGCTCTCGCAAGCCGATGTGCTGGAGAAAAAATGACATGACACACTGCACGCGATGGCAGCGCGCCACCGCCCCGTTCTGCTTAGCGTGCAGTGTGTCACAGCCTTAAATCTCTTTAATGGAGCCCCGGATAGCGTAAAAATCTGCCAGGTCTTCTAATCCTTTCTCATTCTGTCCAAAACTAGAAAACAAAATGTTTTTGACTTGACATACACTTTCATTGTTTTATCGTTTATTAACCTGTTGACATCCGCGGTGTTAAACCCCCCTTCCCATCCAGGCCATTTTTCAGTATTCAGCGCTGCGGTACTTTGACTGACATTTATTCCGTCATGCAGCGCTGTACTGAAATGAATTTTATACCCTTTTTTGGGGACAGATGGAGCTTTCTTTTGGTGGTATTTATTCACCACTGGGGGTTTTTATTTTTTTACTATATTAAGGAAAAATAACAGAAATGTAAAAAAAAAAAACAGTTTCCTCTATATTAAATGATAAAACAACTTTATGGAGACATTAGGGGTCTCTAGGACCCCTAAAGACACCTGTGGACCCCAAAAGAAGCTGATGCAAACGAGCACATATAGGCGATCGGCGGGCTATGGACCCGCTGATCGCCTATATGTGAAACACCCGGTACCGGGTGTTCGCATTGGACGGGTCTTTTCTACCTGTGCGTGCCCGCTAGGGGGTGCGCGCGAGCAGAAAAAAAATGCCGTCTGGCGACGGCAACCCGCCACTGCAGCAGTGCCGTCCGTCCATTTTTCTACTACGTGCGGACGGCAAGAGGTTAAAGACAAGTACCTCATTCAACAGACAGAAGCAACTCGTTCAATTACTTTTTCCCCATAGTTCTCCTTAGGGTAACGGGAGGACACAAACTAGCGTCCTCCCCTTGTTACCCTAAGCTCAGTATACCGCAAGCTACAGCTCGCGGTATACTGAGACGCCGCAGCCGGAGCGGATCCCGACATGGACGTCGAGAGCCGCCCAGCTGCGTGAGTGACAGCTGGCTCTGCCTATCTAGAGGCAGAGCCAGCTGTACCTGCCCCCTCCCCCGTCCGTTCTGCCAGTCAGCGCTGGCAGATCGGAGAGGGGAATCCAGCGACCTCCCGTTCGCTCACCTCCCGATCTACTGAGCCGACCTGTGACAGTCTCATTGTCACAGGTCGGCTAGAACTATGAGGTGAGTGAAAATCACTCATCTCATAGTTCTCCTTTAAAGCTGAACTCTGGGCACAAGAACTGTATATTTAAATATATTCCTCAATAGTTATAAAGGATATACATCCACTTTATGTGCACCAAATCCCTTTGAAAACCCAAATATTACCTAGTAGAAGTAGAAGTGACATCATCCCTGTGCTGTACACATCCTGTGCAGAGATCAGAACTGTGGGAGGGGCCCAGCAGGACTGCCAGCAGAAAATTACTGGAGGGGCCAGAGACAAGACCAGTCACTTGCACTAGAAGAGAACAGCATTGGCTGGTCTTGATTACAGGAAGTTTCTGCACAGATACAAAATTCTTAAAACATTATCTTTGTAAGACATATAGTTCTATCTTTATCTCCTTTAAATCTATGGGGGTCTATTCACAAAGCTGTCGTAGGCAGCCGAGTGAACAACCGACCCCAAGTGAAGTATTCACTTCAGGCTTGTACGGCTGATTT